GGCTGCGTTTCGACCGGAATAACGCCTCGGCCTCCGCGTGGAGGAAGCCGCCGCGTTAAGTCTGGTCATGGGAGAAACTCGATCGACTCGAGACTTCGATTTCGATCGTCTCCCTTCTGAATTGTTTGAACCATTTTTTCCTTTCCTTTTTTTCCTTATATTCGAAACGAAACTTTTTTTTCCACAATAGACCACAGGGATCAGGGATTACGGATTCGAAGTAATATTTGTCGGGGGCCCAGGCGTATCCGATTTCCGGTGCGTTGATTCGCGGGCAGGAACGCATGCGCATGAGCATGAATAATTCCGTTTTAATGGAAGTGTGTATGTTTAATGCATGAGCAAAATCCACGCTTACACGTGGAAAACAATAGGGAATTTCTCGAAGTTAACGAAGTCCAGGAAACCAGTTGTTCCTCGATACGATTTTTCATCGTAAACAGACCGCTTAAGAACCGTTTCTTCTTCGTATCGATCTATTATTAAAAAAAAGAAAGAAAGAAAGAAAGAAAGAGGAGAGAAGAAGGCGAGTGGAAACGGAGAGCGCATCGAGCCGTGCGAATCGATCCCGAAAAACGAAGGACGAGGGCGAAACGAAGTCGATCGCGCGTACACACGTCCATCTGCGGCGGTGGCGTGCGAACATCGGCGTTTTCAGAACTCGTAACAGCATCACCTGGGAAGATAGGCTTGGTAAACTGCCTCTCCCTCGACTCCCGTTTCGCCGACAGCGAAACGTTACTTCCCTTCTGGGAAGAGGAGAGGAGCCTTGGGTATCCTGTTTAAGTATCGTCGAGCACGCCATCGGCGAATCCTCGCGTTTCGTCCTTTTGTTTCTGTACTCTTCTTCTTTTTTTTTCCTCTCTCTCTCTATCTTCTTTTTCTTCTCCTTGAAGATCAACGTTATCGATCTTTCTTCTATCCCTATATTACTTTACCACCAGTTCTTCTTCTATTTCTTCCTCCATTTTTAATTTCTTCCTATGTACGTGTGTATATATATTTTATTTCTTTCTCACTATTTATTGCTTATGCTTTTTTTTCGGTAGCTTCAAAGGGAAAGAAATCGGCCGAATTCGACCGATTCTAAGGAGGGGTGGGGGGGAATATACGAGATCCTCTTACGAGCGCGCGACTCATGTTTCATATCGAGCGTTTATCGCTCGAAAAAAAAGAAAGAAAGAAAGAAAGGACTGGCACCTGCCGCTTTTCCACGTAACAAGCAAAATATTTATAATCGTGACCTTCGCGAGGGATCCATCCTCTTTCGACAGA